TTCCCATTCCGGTCCTTGGGGACCCACAGGCGGTCCACAATTTTGCTCCCTCCCAGCTCCCTGTCAGACAGTTCACAATTTTGCTCCCTCCCAGCTCCCTGTCAGACAGTTCACATTTTTGCTCCCTCCCAGCTACCTGTTAGATAGTCCACTTTTTTCCCTCCGGGACCAGGGAGGTTTACTGTAATTCCTGACTTCTCTCCGAGGGCCAGAATGAGGAGCCCACGGCTGGCCAACATGAGCACTGCCGGGCGTGCTTCAGGGTGCAGTGCCGGGTCCCACTGGCGCCCCCTGTCTCCTGTGCCACCATCAGCTGCCAACTGCTCTGTGGCGCCATCTTCCACCGCTGCAAGGAGGAGGAGCACCGGATGCTGTGCCCCCGCGAGACAGTGCCCTGCCTGAACGCCGACTATGGCTGCCCCTTCACCCTGCCTCGCTGCCGGCTCGCCCGCCACCTCCAGGCTTGTCCGGCAAGTCTGGTGACCTGCTCGCTGGACTGGAACCGCTGGCCTGCCACCGAAGCGGATGCCGCATTCTGCCGGAGCGTTGTCGCAGACTGCGGGTCTGGAGAGCCCCTGGACCTGGCGGTGGCCCTAAGGGACCAGAGGCTGCTGTTCAGCAACCTGAAGTTGGACGCCCTCTTCCCTGAGCTGATGCAACCGGCTGAGATGGTCACAGAGGAGGCACAGAAGGCAGCAAGCAGGGGTCCCATCAGGGATGGAGGGTCCTCTGAGCTTGAAGGGGAGCTTCTGGACATCAGCAAGGATGCCCCAGAGGTGCAGGAGCTGACCCAGGAGGAACGTGACGCCCTGGCTAAGAGTCGCGAGGTGGCCAGGATTGATAACTACAAAGCCTGGGAGAGCATTTTCAGCAAGGAGCTGCGAGGGTACCAGTGGGAGCCCCAGGAGCAGGCGAGCAGCCTGGCAGTGGGGAATGGGAACCAAGAAAAAGCAGAACGGAATACAAGGCAACTGGCAGAAGGTGCCGAAAGCACCCCAAGAAACGGGAGTGCAGGCGCCACAGGCCTGGCCCCCTGGCAGGACGGGGTTCTGGAAAGGCTGGGGAAGGAGGTGAATATCGCAGAGTACAACATGTACCTGGTGCACCATGGGAGCATGCTGATCCACTTCGGGCAGCTGGAGGCCTGCACTCCCAGGGAGAGGGACTTCGTTTATGGAGCACTGGAGCCCATCGAAGTGGAGACGGTGCATAGCTACAGTGTTCCGTCCAGCTATAGGGCGAAGCGCAGCTTCCTCAAGAATTCTTCCCTTCGGATGAAGCGGTCAACCAAAGAGACTGACACGTTTGACCTTGAAGTGTCCGTGGAGGATATCCCGAAGTGCGACGAGGTCAAGGCCATGCTGGTCTGCTCCTTGGAACAGGAGTTGAGGGGACATCCCATCAGCAAGACGGTGCCCACGGATGGCCTCTTTGTGGACATCGGGACCCAGACCTACGACTTTGCTTCAGCACCGTTCAGGGCAGGGGCTACCCTAGCTGACATCACAGCCGGCCGGACGCTGAGCCTGCATGTCCAGATTCAGGCGGAGTCCGTCACCAGGAGGCACAACAAGGCCAGCTCCATCTTCACCTTCCTGTGCGGCCATACCTTCCGGAGAGATGAGTTCGCCTGGCACTTCCGTAATGTCCACTCAGACTTGTGCTCGGTGCTGGATGGATGGTTCCAGCAGCGCTGCCCGCTGGCCTACCTCGGCTGCACCTACAGACAGACCCGGTTCCAGCCATCCACTCACAGGGCCACCGTCACCTATGATGGGGACTCTGGCACCTTCACAGTCAGGCCGCAGGTGCCGCCGGAGCTGCTCGGGGGGGCCCGCGGCCCGGACGGCCTCAGCAAGCTCCCGTTGGAGGTGCTACAGAGCGTCGCCAGCTACCTGGACAGTTTCAGCCTGTCCCAGCTGTCCCAGGTGTCCCGGTTAATGAGGGACGTATGTGCCACACTGCTACAGGACAGGGGAATGGTTTCTCTGAGGTGGGAGCGGGAGACTGACCCTGATGGGAAGTCCAGCTGGAGGAACAGAGTAAAGGTGAGCTCTAACATAGTAACACACAGCACAGTCTAATACAGTACCACACACAGCACAGACTAACGCAGTACCATGCATAGCACGGAGTGTCTAATGCAGTACCACACACAGCACAGACTAATACAGTACCACACACAGCACAGACTAACGCAGTACCATGCATAGCACGGAGTGTCTAATGCAGTACCACACACAGCACAGACTAATACAGTACCACACACAGCACAGACTAACGCAGTACCATGCATAGCACGGAGTGTCTAATGCAGTACCACACACAGCACAGACTAACACAGTACCATGCACAGCACAGTCTAATGCAGTACCACACACAGCACAGACTAACACAGTACCATGCACAGCACAGTCTAATGCAGTACCACACACAGCACAGACTAACACAGTACCATGCACAGCACAGTCTAATGCAGTACCACACATAGCACAGAGTGTCTAGCATAGTACCATGCACAGCACAGTCTATCTAATGCAGTACCACACATAGTACAGTCTGTCTAATGCGGTACCACGCACAGTACAGCCAGTCCATATGAGACTGTGCATCTCCCAAGTTTTCCAGTGGATTTTTCCAGTGCCTGCACTGTGCATCAGCAGTATTATTACTATAAATAAACGGATGCTGAGTGTGGGCCTCCCTGCTGTCGCTCAGGCATCCGGGTCATTCTGGCTGGCCCTCTGAGTAACCGTGCTATCACCTCTACCCCTGGTGGTGTTCACAAACAGCATGCGGACCACCCCTGAGAATCAGGCTTGCACTAGTAGTCACGTTTTACAGTGGCTTGCCTGCCCCAATGCCGGTCAAAAACAGCCATGTCGATCGGGTCTGGGCATGGGCCACAAATCATATCTGAACTCAGATACCCAACTCAGACACACCACACACATCTCCATGCACCATGAACACGCACACACCGAAATACACACACTCAAACTGACCCAGCACAGGCGTGCAGAATAGCTAAAAACAACCAAGATCATCCATTCGAGACCACTAAAATAATAAACATGGATATAATTTAGGCTTTTATTAATTAAAATGGATTTTATTACGTTTTATCGATTTGCATGAAATTAAGTCGGTAATTTTTCGTTACTGTTCATCATTGCATTCTTAATTATGCTCCGAAAGTCGCCCGGGTGGCCCCGCCGGCTCTGAGATCCGTGCGTCCGGAGACATCGGCTCTCTGCAGGGTGATGTTAGGAACGTGTTAATGCTACGCAGGAGCTCACAGCACGCTGCTCAGTAAGGGTTTGTTTAGGGACCGCAAGTAGGTTACAACTAATTACCACCCTGCTGCTAATGCTGCCTTCGTGATTTATTTGTTGACTCGTGGATGTTATTAATGAGAAGAACATATTAAATGGTCTAATGCAAAATATAAGACCAGCAACAAATAATATTTCTCACTGCCGTCTGCCTAACAGATGCTATATATATACGTACATCCATGGTGACCCTGCCCTCCTCATTATGGAGATATAAGTAGCCACACCCATTTATTTCCATACATGGCTTGTGTAGGCGGGACCACATGTAAGGCACCACCTCCTGTCCTCTGTCGCGATCTGGATATTTCAGCTCACTGCCGCTGGCCCGATTCTGCCCCCCTGCAGGTGTGGCAGTTCAGCAGCTCCTTCAGCGCCGTGCAGCAGTGGCGCTTCGATGACATGCCCTCCATGGCGGAGCACCTCCGGGCCTGTCCCTTCTACGAGACGGAGGAGAGGAGCCGGCCGGTGGCCCTGGTGGGCTTGAGCGACGGCCCCGTCTGTCTCCCAGCGTCCGCGCTCAGCTTATCTGGATCTCCAGAGCCCTAACTGTATAAGTGGCTATTGAGAATGATTTTATTCACTTAGCAGACGCTCTCAGCCAGAGCGACTCAAAAAAATATGTAATAGAGTCAGTGCGTCAACAATGGGCAGCAGTGAAAACACACTGATAACATTTACAATGAGTGACGTGCAATATTAGCCCGTAATGTTTAAAGTGGCTTGCAGTACAAAGCCATTAGCTCTCCTTAGCGCTGAAGGGTACTTGTGGTTTGCATATCGGAGTTCCCGGGTAGATCAGGAAACTGCAGGATTGGCGAACTCCATACAGGTGGCCATGAACCACGAAGCTGTCACTGCCGAAACGCTGTGTGTGGAGATACGCCGGTGTGTGTGAATAGAGAACGATCCGCATCTGAATGCCTGTTTGAGGGAATCATTCCCTGCTTTTGAATGAATGAGTTACTGCGGTTGCGAACGATGAAGCGATGCCTTCGGGAATCCACGGAGCGGCAAGGACGAGAGGATCCATTTAACCGTATTTCTGTACGTGTCAAGTTCTCATCAGGGGATGTTTAATACTTTGTTATTCAGCTTGGACTCTGCGTCATTTTACGAATTGATTGCTATCTTATATCTGTTTGTATAAGTGATGCCTTAATGGTCCGCATCTCACATGATAGATTCAACGCAAGATAAATCACTCCTTTCTATTTGACGGCCTCGTTAATGACCACATGCACTGCAGAGAGACAGACTGATAAAACCAACTGTATGTTTCAATTTAAAAAACACTATTACTGGGTTACTGGTTTATTGAGCTAAATAAGTTAGTCAAACACTTCGGATTTCTTCTGTGTGGGTGTGTAAAATAAAAATAAAAATGATCCCAGTACAACAGAGGTTTTTGGAAGAGTCATACTGCCTCCCAGTGGAGAAGAAGAAAAGCAGCAGCTGTTTCCTTTAAAGACCCTTCATTGATGCTTGGTGTAAAACTGCGTGTTTCTGATGGGATTTGGGGTGGTAATTTAAAACATGCTAACAAGTGGCTGAAATTAACAGCACTGTCCCGTGTGAACAACGCGATGCGTGCCATTTCAAATATTTATCCGCATCTCCATCTGTTAACGATCTCTGACTTCTGATTGCGTATTTAACACTGCAAGGGTGTGTTAGCAGTCATGGTGACGCGCACGGTGATGCCTGTGACCTCCTCTTGGGGGCGCTTCAGTGTTACACTCCAGAGAAAGCTGCACGAGGTGATCATCATGCTGATAAACTGCTGTCAGACAGCAATAACCTCATTCAAGAACAACAGGGCAGTAAAACATCTTTAAGGTTTTAAAATGAATATAACATTCAGGAGCAGTCCTACTGTGTAAAATATCCTATTACAAAGCAGGCAGGCATAATAAAAATATCCAAATATCCATTTTCCATATCTGCTTGTCCTATGCAGGGTACTGGGGCTCTGGAGCCTATCCCAGAAGCTATGGTCGTAAGCCAGGGAATAACCCAGGATGAGGTGCCAACCCATTGCAGGGCACCATTCACACACATTACGACAAAAATATCAAGAAACTAATTGATTTTATTTTGTGTTTAAATCGCATATGTCGGCTTTTTAATACTCAGTGTTAAATATGCAGTTCAAGAGGTTAATACATGTAATTTGAGAATTATCCTGAAATGCATCTAATGAAATGAGTGAAAAAGACATGCAAAATGCAACAGAAATAGACAGGTAATAATGCTTTTAGTCTAAGGAGTATAGCTGAGCATATCTAAGTGAGAAGGTTTCCTGGTCATTTCCCATCTACGTCACCATAACAGCGGCAGAGTGCTGGCTTCAGTCAGTGGTGCCACACTTAAGTGTCTAAGTACTGGTGCATTTGCAGCGCGGATGGCCGTTCAAGGCCCTCGCCAGACGGCTGACGTCATCTGTGATGCTCGCAGGCTGACTTCCAAAGACGGGGGAAGGGGCAGGTCACCCTGCCCGGAGATGGAGCATAGAATCAAAGACGTTCTACAGTGATACAGAGCACCGGAATGCAGGACATAAAGTACCATTCAAAAGTGTGGACACGCCCACCAATAGAGAGGTTTATTTGTACTATTCTCTACATTTTAGAATAAATATAAGGACATCAAAACTATGTAATAACATATATGGAACTATACACTGACTTAAAAAGTATTTTAAAATATCATTTACTGGGGAGGGCAGCTCTGTGAGTTGGGACTCAGAAGGTTGCCAGTTCAAATCCCTGGGTCTGAGGAGTGATCCCACCATTGGGTCCTTGATCAAGGCCCTTAATTGCTCCAGGGACTGGCTGACCCTACTGTCTCCTCTATGCTAGTTTCATGAGGTGGCCTCCTGGGATGCTTCTCCCGCTGTCCTGGAGGAGGTCCCACATACAGTATACTAAGCACTCATTGGCTGCTTTTCCTTCATTCCTGATCAGACCCCTCCCAAACCACTGTGTTCTACTGTGTTTAGGTCAGGTGGCCAGGTCATGTGACATGACACTCAATCACCCTACTTTACAGGCGTCTCTTCACTGAAACCTAACTTATTCTGGCAGGACAAACAGGTCTGGGACCTGTGAGAACAGGGAAACAAGGGCAGCACAAATTGCCCATAATTTCTGAGGGTAACCTGGTGCAAATGTGTGAATTGGCAGCTTTGGTAAACATGCCAGTGGAGGAGCAGGAAACGTGGGAGTTACAGTGATCCGAGAAGCTCCTCAGACGACCCCAGGCCGTCTTCATGCCTCCAGCCTCACCCACCATGAAGGACAAATGCCTCGGTCACTTTGGAACATAACTTTTGGGCGTCTCACTTGCAGCTGAAACCCACTGGCTGTCTGGCGGAGGCAGGAACGTGGGCAGGCTGATTTTCGGCAGATATGCGGAGGGCCGTGGGCGTTGATTTCTGCACATTTCGCTCCCATTTTCCGGGGGATGCAGGTTACATATTAAAATGAAGGCTATCCTGCCAGGATGTGTCCTCAGCTAGCAGCACCGTCCATCTGGTTTTATAAGCCAATTGTGATTTATGGTTCAATTTGGGCGAAATGGAGCGATAGCACGGAGCTTGTTTGGCCGTTCGTATTCCATCCCCTATCTCAGAAAAACAGTAAAACCAAAAAGTTACTGACTGATAACAGCCTCTTCCTAATGCACATTTGTTTTGATTTCTTTTTTAGAAGATTAGCTTTCACTTTCTGCTGAAATATCTAATATTCTTTATGCAGAAATGCAAAGACAACGTCTTGATGCTGACAATGAATAAAAATACTGTTGGAAACGGATTAGCCGGTTAAACATACAAAATCAGGTGTACTTTTGCAGATATTTTCCCTGTATTTGGATACTTAAATAATAAGTCTTGCCAGGGACTTGTGAGCCATTGTGCGTGCATAAGAGGATTACGGTGTTAATAGGACTGACCCTGTGCTCACCAGCAGGTGGAGATCATTTGGCTTTACAAGGGAGGTGCGCTATGCTGAGGCTCACAGGCCATTCGCGGGAGTTTTACTTACACAAAGTATTCTGAGGGCAGAATAGAAAATATGACAAAGACATCTGATGGCTTGGACCCGCCTCCTCCACAATCTGATTGGTTATCTCTCTGAACCAATCATTTAACGTTATGCCCTCAGGACATTGTTGTGAAGGTAAAACTCCCATGAGCTCACAGGCCATTACAAAGCAGGAGTGCAGCATGAATTTCATGGCACGCGGCACCGTGCTGAGAGACAGCCAAGGATATGGTGCTCCTGGATCAACACCACTGTTACGGAAACTGATGGATGGAGCTTGTAGCTCAAAGATCTTCACAGAGTCTATAGACCAATAAATGACGGCTGGGAAAGTCTTTGCTATGCCTATATGTGCCTTATATTCAGGACCAGGGCAAATGGGATGAGCAGCTTATAACGATGGGCTTCAACCAGCCTAAAATGCAACGGCGCACGCATTCAAGAATTTAGCTTCCGTATCTGAAGCTTGTGAAAAGTCAGTCGGGTCGGGAATAACAAGCAGGCGGCTGCTGTGATATGGCGGATCTCGGCCTCACACTCCGCATCTCAGAACAGCTCAGGTGAGCATGGAGGTGCGGGGGAGCCCGCTGGGCCCACGCCACGGGGGGGTGGGGGGGGAGCCTGTGGGTCCGACACAGTGGCGCAAAGTACTGTAAGATATGTCATGATAATTCACCAGTCAGAGAGCCCAGTTCATTCTCACAAGGGAACGTGACAGAAATTACTGCACACTTCTGTGGAAAGCATGTCATTTAACTTATTTACGGACCAAATGAGAACAGGGATATATCTGTGTGAAAGCTCTGCGTGCAAGCCATGAGGATATGGCTGTCCCCGCACTGGACAAGTTAAAAATGGCTTCCTCCCACACTCAGGGTGCATGAAAAGGTAGCCATGCCTATGAGTGGTAATATTTGGGTATTTCTCATCCTTTGTTTGGTTTCTTTTATCCCTGAACACATTCCAGAGATTAACACATCACTTAGAGGGTGATTTCTTTGTGTAGATGATGGAGAACGTCTTATGACTCTAAAAAAAGCCTGTGGAACAAGCTGAGACTACAGGTAAGTTTCCTGTCTGTCATCTGCACCTGTGAAAGTCCGTCTCATCACCTGCACCAGTGTTTCCCAACCCGGTCCCCAGGGACCCACGGACAGTCCACATTTTCGCTCCCTCCCAGGTCTCTAACACCATGGTGGGGGGCATGCAGGATTGTTTGGTGTTTCTGAGCCCCTCTCCTTTAAGACTAAATAATCAGCTAGTGAGCAGAGTCAGAAGATTGTGGCTAGCTAGCTGGATATCAGAACATCTCCTGAATAAGGAATGCTTATTTAATGTTTCGTGTAGTGACTGTTTGTGGCCAACAGGGGGATCCAAAACTTATGGGCTCCACACAAATGTGTGGTTTGAGTAGTGGTAAATGCCGCCGCTGGGGACGTGGGGGTCATCTGTCACCGAGTACTACAGCGAGGTTCCCCAAATTCAGTCTCGGAGGGACAAAAACCAAAAGAGTTTGCAGATTTCCTTGTTCAAACACACCTACTAAACCTGGTAATTAGCCGATTACGATGTGTTTGAGCAGGGAAATCTGCACACTGTGTCGGATTTTGGTTTATTATGATTATTACTTTTGAGAAAATGCCACAATACATATTATATTAAAAAGGGGCCATTGAAGTTTAAAATAAACAGTTGAATGAGATTACAATTGAAGAACGAGGCTTTCATCATTAGAACGAGATATTTGGCTTGATTCTAATTTACTTTATAGTAGGAAGAGGCGTTTTAGTGGATCAATTACTTTTATTATATAAAAAGAGAAAGACAACAAAGCACAAAGAAGTGTACTAGCCTCGAACACTGCAGCTGAGATGGATAGCTGGGGATGGGAGATGGCACACAATGGTGCAGTGTGGAAGTGTGATGTGCGGCATGGGTGCAGTGCGGCAGAGTGATGTGCAGCCTGGGTGCAGTGTAGCAGGGTGATATGCAGCATGGGTGCAGTGTGGCGATGTGATGCACAACATGGGTGCAGTTTGGAGTGGTTGCCATGCAGCATATATGCACTGTGGACGGGTGATATGCAGCACGGGTGCAATGTGATGGAGTGATGTGCAGCATGAATGCACTGTGGAGTGGTGACCTGCAGTGTTGGTGTAGTGTGGCAGTGTGACGTGCAGCATTGGTGCAGTGTGATGTGCAGTATGGGTGCAGTGTGGCAGGGTGACATGCTCAGCTGGGTGTCTCTGCTAGCAGCCTGAAACTGTCAGTAGTGGCAGGATTCGAACCACAACAAACCCATATTTTCCAGCCTACATGTGACCGCCATTCGTCCTCGGCACCCACAGCCGTC